CCCCAAAACCCCAAAACCCCAAAACCCCAAAACCCCAAAACCCCAAAACCCCTTTAAAAATGAGAATGATTGATAAATTCTATTAATTTTATTGAGTACCTTTCATAAACCCATTTGTATAAGTTGTAGATGCTTTTGGATGATATCTTTCCAGAATATCTCCATGCTCAGCAAGCAGTTTCTCCATCTCAGCTTTGACAATATCTTTTTTGCGATTTTCTTCCTCTTCCTGAGCAAGTTTTTCTTGGATTTCGATTTCTCTCTGTTCTCTGTACATAGCAAGTTTCTCTTGCCACAACCTTTCAACTTCTCTTTTGTGCTCTTGTTCTTTCATTCTTCTTCTTTGAGCATTGAGTTGTTCAATTCTGTCATCTTCTGCAAATTTTTCGAACATTTTTCTCTTGAATTCCTCTTCTATTCTTCTTTCCTCAGCCTCTCTTTCCTCTTTGAGCATTTTCTGGTATTCCTGGGCTCTGAGGAGTTCATGCATGACATTGACACGTTTTTCAGCTTCTTGTCTCTCTTTTTCTCTTTCACGTTCTTCTAATTCTTCTTGGTAAAGTTCAACTCTGAGATTTTCGATGTATTCCTCTTCGGCTCTTCTTCTTTCCTCTTCTGCCTTGAGAGTTTTGAATATTTTCTCTCTTTCTGCTTCTAGTTTGGCCTTTTCTCGTCTGATTCCAGCCTCTCTGACAGCTTGTTCTTCTGCATATCTGCGGACATTTTCTTCTTCTTGCTCTTCGATTTCTTTGAGCCTTTGGTCATTTCTTCTTTTTTCTAGAAAACTCTGCTTCATATCTAATTTAGCCTGCTCTTGCTTGAGTTTAGTAAGCTTGGACATTTCTTCATCCTCCTCAATTAGCCTATTAACGACAGCTTCAACTTGAGACTTCTCTCTTTCGAATTCCTCTCTCTGAGCTTGAAGTCTGAGAGCTTCCTTCTCACTCATCTGCTCCTGAATTCTATGTTTATTTTCGAGGCGGTTAATGGCTTCTTGATGCTGCATTGCTCTCTCTTGGGCCTCTTCAAGTTCTTTCTTTCTGAGCATTGCCATGTCCATCCTCGCGTCTTCCTCTACTTCCTTGTGGATCTTCATCTGACTCTCTGCGAGCTGAGCTGCTCTTTCCTTGTTGAGGTATGCATTTCTAATTTTCTCTTGTAATTCTTTGATTTCATCACTTTCAGTTCAGATTCTATCTATTTCAACTTTTTGTTTTTCAGTGTCGAATTTCATCCTGGACATCTCTCTAGCGAGTCTTTCCTCCATTTCGAGATACTTTGGGTTCGGCTTAGCGGTACCTAGAGTTCCTGGCAACATTTTTAGTTAATATTATAGAATTTAAATCAAAATTTATTGCAATTTGTGGAGGTAAGTAAGGGGTTTTGGGGTTTTGGGGTTTTGGGGTTTTGGGGTTTTGGGG